AATTGGAGTGGGTTCCTATGCTGCTAAATACTTCCAAAAATAGTACCTCTCTATCTATTTTGCTGGTAGAGTATCTGACATACTTGAACCCACTCCTAACTCTCCTAATGAGAGTTACTACTGCACTATACTAATTACTGCAATACTAGTAATGTGCACAACCCCCCAGTTCATTACAAAATCCAAATGCATTCCACAGGGTTACATGAGGTGTATCTTACAGTAGAATGCATTTCTAGTGCTCCAAGAGAATCTTGGCTACACTTCATATTTCCATTTAACTTGCGATTATTTTTTCTTGGTCATATTTGGGAATTCAATACTCATGAGAAATACCAAATGCAATAGATAGAAATGGTTGAATAGAGGCCAAGTAATAGAAGTCTGGGGTTTTTTTTCATTAGTTGTAAAATCTTCATATTGGCCACTTAATATAATTACGGTTCCCAACACAAGGCATGAAAACCTGAGAGAAGCACACAGGAACACTTCCTACTTTCACCAAAGGTCTGATCCAAAGGCCACTTAGGGAAGCCTTTCAGTTCACTTAATGAAATGTAGATCAGATTTCTAGAAAGCAGACAGTCAATTCAGGATTTCAGCAGTGGATGTATGCTGCAATAAATATACTTATCCACTTTTATGCATCCTTTCATGCTTGACATTCATACATTCAGTGTATCTCTTTTTTTTCACAGATTTTGTAGCCATGTAGCCAATAGCTGATATTAAAATACAAACAATACATTAGAGAACAGTAATTAAAGTCTGGAGTAAAAGAAGCCTGATGAAATGCTACTTTTAGTGGTTATATTATATTTGAATAAAATTATACTAGGGTTGATATAGGTCTTATTTTAGACAGGCTAAGAATTTTCCAAAACAAAATTAAAAGAATTATGTAGGAAAAACTGCACACTATTTTATGCCATTAACATAATTAAGTATGACACAACATAAGGATTATGGAAGGAAACCTAAGGAAATTCAAAATAATTGGCTACTCCAAGCTGCTCCTTCCAACTTGGAGTTTGAATCAATTAAAAGATCAAGTCTAAAACAATAGAAGAAAACCACATACCTAAAAGGATGGTTACCCTCCTAAAAAGTCAGAAAAGACTTTTAGCATAGATTTCCTTCCCGTAGAATGAAAAGAGTTCTAGATATCACACCAACATGACACTGAGGCAGGATCAGCTTGGTTGGGCTCTCTGACCCAGACAGCCTGCAGGAGGAGCATGTGAGAAAGCACTGAAAAGGATTTTATTTTGTTGGGTGTTGCAAGTTTGTCTGTCATTAAGTTGTTAAGGCTCCCCTGTAATCTCATGCATCACTTCTCCATCTCTGGTTCTTAAGTTGATCCATGGGACACCTGGAGATGACACAAACCTTTTAAACAGACAACTTCCTGTGCACCCAAGCAAGCAAAGAAATATCTGGGGAAATAGAGTAAATAAACCCACAGGGTATCTTACATTTTATAAGTATCTTACATTTCATTAGCATTATGTGAAAGTCATTGAAGTAACACTGGACAAGAAGTAATACTGGACAAGAAGTGCAACTGACCATCTTTTTATTACAAAATTGCATGGTTTTGCTCATTAAAATTTGTTGATCAACATCCTCTAGAGAAGTCTGCAGCACTCAGAGCAAGCCATAACAATCTGCTTAGACTGTATCACCTGCACTGCCCTGGGCTCATGAGGCAGCCTGGTGGCCCCCTATTTATCTGGCAACAGTGAATGTTTTAGTTGTGCTCCCTCCACTCCCTCCATGTTCAAGCTGCAACATCACACTTTCAAGAAACATCAACAGGAATGACTTTAGAACACTATGACTGTTATCCAGACTAGTCCCTCTACACCCTTCTTTCCTTGTCTCCAAACACATGTTCACAGATGAGTGGATAGGTCTGTGTTAAGTCTAAGATAAATAGTGTAACAGGTCACTTCCATGCTCTTGCTGAGCCTACAGTGTGGTAGAATATCTTTTTTGCTTCCCGTGCTGAGAACCAGTGTTTTGCTTTTGTGTTTTTTTTTTCATAAGGAAAAAGAAAAAATAATTGCTCACAAAGAATAGAATAGTAATTTGTATTAGTTGAAATCATACTAGAAAGGCCTTAATTTTCAGGTTTGTGACCACATATGGAAGTATAAACATCAGATGGATATCATAGAGGTGCAGTATACAAGAATAGTTCAAATTTATGCCACTCCCAGTGACATGTCCATAATTAATAACCAGATTCATGAAGTCATGAAGTGGGTGTGGACTGGGTGGGACCTGTATCCGATCTGGTAGGTAGCTTTGTAGCTTTGCTTCAAGTACAAACTGTTTGGGTAACTGCAGGAGAAATGAGTGGTCTGTGCCAGTCCAGCATGGAAGTGGAGCTGAATGACTGAGGACACACCGTGAGCCACATGATGCAGAACCTCCTGGCTACCACTCATGGTGAACAAGTGGAGATTAAAGTCCCCTTGTTTTCCTTTGTTGAATCCCTCCCATTAAAACCCAAGAGATTGTAGCAACAATCTGGGTGAGAATACATTTATTATGACATTGGTGCTTAAGATTTCATCAACCAAGGTCAGCTAAACACGCAAAAACAACAGATGCCACAGTTGACTTACGTAGGAAATAAAATGTGCAAAGAAAAGTAGCTTTCTACCTTTCCTAGTCAAGTTTTCCTGCTCAGAAAAGAGTCAAATTATCCTTACAACACCTGAACTCATCAGTGGGACATTCTGGCACCTCCTAGCTTCAGTTTCCAGTCTTCACATACTCCAGAACACAGAGTATACAAGCCAGGCAACTACATCAGAGCTCAAGGGATGGTCAGACCCAGGGAGGGTCTACGAAGGTGTGGGAGACAGGGAAAAGCATTCCAAGCTGGCTGCACAGGTAGCTCCACTTCATACAGTGTTCAAGAGTCCAATGCCTGACATTCCTCAACAGTGCCCATATTTTGTCCTTTCTCTTCATCTGTCTTTTTTCCAAGCATCTCCAGGAACAGGTATCTTTGGCTTCTCTCATGACTATTTTTTCATTTGTTTAGAGCTGGTTGTGATTTAAAATCCACAAAGATGGAAAAGACTTTTCTTTTTTGCACAGATAGATGAAGTCCTAGGATATCATGGCAAGAGGCTAGGTTTTGGAATTAGGCTGCAACTTGGCATCCATTTCCTACTTACACGAGGTAAATATTTCCAAGTGAATCTAAATCATGCATGTAGTCTGTATATAATTAGCTAATGCAGAATCTTTCCTGTTATTTGTGCCTAGTTGCTGGAATTTATCCCCAACATATGTTACTATGGATTCCTTTTTATTGCCTTTTTCAGTCCCTGAAATGGCACATCCCTTTTATGACATATGCTGCATATATATATATTTTGATCACACCACTGCGAAACATCACTGGGGACGAACTTTAATGCTGTTGATACATTGACCTTTTTTTTTTAAACATGAAATGGACAGACAAGATACATGGGGAAAGACAAGACACTGAGATGGAATATGAGTGACTGGGCACAAATACGAGAATAGGTTTTACAGGATTATGTTAAGTGTCCTTTAGATTGTAGAGATGTCAGCTAACGTAAAACTCTAATGTACCAGCTGCTGTCCAAATAGATCACAAAATGAAAGTCCCCATGCTGAGCAGGGATTAAAATAGAGCAGCTGATGAGTAAGACGCTATTTCTTACATAAATTTCACATTACATGCACTAAGACATCTCATTGTCAAATATTCGTGAGGTTGCTATTTCCCATGAAAAATCTGCAGCAGAACAAATGCATCAAATCGTTTCACTTTTCAGGCTCTAAGATTGTTATTTTCGTGCCACACAGAAACTCCCTTTTAGTCTGCTTTGTGATTCATGTGTTCGGCTGAATAACTCTCCTGGAACTCAGAACAAGAGGGAAACCTTCCCTAAGTACTTCCTGTCTTTTTACATGTACTAATAACAAGAGGGAGTCCTCCCACCTTTCCCATTTACAACATGCCAGGCACACCTACTGATTGATACACTCACAAGCCTCAGAAACAGTCTGCTTTTGCTCTGTTTTTAAAATAGCACGATTTTCTCTGTCAACAAAAATGTTGTTTATCTAACATTACTTTGCATCAAAGTAATATTAACACACCACTTAATTAATTGCCTGTAGACAAAGGAGAAATCCTAACTTACCATAAAACATAAAAGATGCGCTTCTCTTCCCCTTTTTCCTGTCTACAGCTAATCACAACTTTGAAAGTGTGTCAATCTTAAAACACAGGAGAGAAACGTGGAATGCTGTGGGGAAGTACAAACTATGCCATGTGTTTAACCGTGGGAGTTTGCAGGCCTTGCTCCAAGGTGCCCAATGCAATCAGTATGAAACCAATGCTGAAATTTGACTGTGTGAGAATTAAGTAAAAACTCCAGAACGAGGTCCAGTATAGTTACAATTTGAAATGCCAAAAAATAAAAATCACCATCCCACTGTCATATTACAGCCTGTCAATCTGGAAATCCTAAATGAATGGATTTGAATTACACTATCCCCTAACCACGGATTATTAAGCTTTTCTTAAGTTATCAGCACTACTGAAAATAAAATCAAGCCCCTAATTTTTACAGACTGTATACCTTCTTTTCAAAATATGTGTCCTAAGCATCATGGTTTCCTTGTACTTGGAAAACAAGTAAAATGTTCTGTGTAACTGATGTGAAAAACTAACTCGAGGTGTTGAGTGACTTACCAAACTCTTCAGAAGGCTGCCATGAGGTACTCCAGTTCTAATTGTGGCTTTGCATCTGACTTATTATGTGGGTGTAATCCTGGCCAACTCATTAATCTCCAGGCCTGTTTTTCCAATCTGTAAAAGGGAATATATTATATTTAATTAATACAGTCTGTGGCTATTAATTAGCCAGTATGAAAAGGAATACTGTTTTGAATGACATTCACAATTCCATCTATACCTTTCTGTTCAGCTGATTCTGCTTCTGATTTTCCCCTTAAAACAAGCAAATCAAGGCTGGTTGAAATTCAATCTCTGTTCATTTCATTACCAAAAGGAAAAGTCTTGGTGAGGTTTTTTCCACACCTTCAAGTCAAAGCTGCACATGCTCTTGCTCTGGCTGTTCTGTGAAATTTAGCTTACAGATTTAATAGATTTTGCCATTCTTAAATGAAACTTTATTTCAATAATAAATTAAGCTTCACCCTTCCATAGTGGAGTGTTGTTACTCTCCTGAAATGCAGCAACCAATGCCTAACAGATCTTTTTTTCCATGTTCTATGAGAAAGATTATATTTCTCATACTATTGTTCAAGTGAAGCTGCCACTACCCTGAAAAAGGATGAAAGATAGATAAGACAAAAAAAAAGCACTATAAAATCAATAGCTTTCTTTGTTATGAAAAAACCAATTAATCCCATGCAAAGATGCAGTTGCCAATGGAATGCAGAAAATTGCAATACCCCTACCAAGAAAACTCTATTCTGAATCCTGGTGTCCTCAACAAATCTTGAAGAAAGGCAGCCAGTAAGTTCAAGAGTGTCTTTGGTCTGATTCTCTTCTAATAAAACAGCTTTGAGAATGTTTTATTGTTTTTTTGTGAAGGGTGGTAAGATTCTCACACCAGTGAATCCTAGGAAAAAAAAGTATGAAATACTGCTGTTTGAAAATGCTGTAGCCTTAAAGACTTTTTAACTTTAAATATTTTATTCATTACAATTTTATCAAGGTATTTACAATTTACCACGTCTTTCAGGTTCCGACTTCCAGTCTCTGAAAAACAAATTAGCTTCCATATATTTTTAATGAAGTAAAAACTCTGAAGTGCTTCAACCTTCATTAAGGTCGAATCCAGATAAAGACAGAAATTCTTTGTCCTGAGCCTTCCATAAAGATTGACAAAATATTGCAGAGAAGTACTCAGAATTTTTAAACTCCCTGGATTTAGCCTAATTTTCCTCCTTAGATTCTTCTTCTTGTTGTTGTTCTGCTGCCAGACAGTGGATTGCCAGCTCTTGAGAGTTCCTATTGAGTCTCTGAATATTAATTGCTGTTCTCAGAGTCCACAGGGCTGAAATCAATGGATTGTATAAGAATCTTCTCATTTTGTCTGAAATGGGCTTTTAGCCCTTGAAATTATGACAAAGGCTGGGAAGAAGAAGAATTGGTTTTAAGAAGCTCAGAAGGAAGCAGGCACATGAAAAAGTCAACATTTATTGCTTTTTATGTATGATTTTTAATGCTCAAATTAGGAAACACTGTGGTAGGAGGTACACTCTTCAAAGTAAGAAGTGTTTATACAAACAAAAGCAGCAAACCCTAATATTCCCCGGGCTTGGGTTCTGTAATAACTCAAGGATTTGATGAACTGTGAAAAGAATGAGTCTGCAATAGCTTATTATGATAAAGCTTTTGTTTTGAAGAGGTTTGAGCCAGCCACACATGAGTTGTGACAGACCATAGTAAACAAACCACCACTAGGAGGGTTTTTTTGCATGTCTGCAAACAGCCCAAGCCACAGTCTCCAATTTCTTCTGCCCTCATAACTGGGTTGAATCAAGGCACCAGTGCTCTGTAACAGGGTGAGAAACATGGCTCAGGACATCTCTGGGTTGTTTAATGCACAGACAGAAGAAGAAATAAAGGTATTCAAGTTATTAAGCCTTGCTAATTTTCTGTGAGCTCTAACTTCTCCTGCTGTAGGTGAGATCCCAGCTTGTATGTCACTTGGAGGAAGAGATTGGATTAAAGGCTAAAACAGGTTAATTAATATTGCATGTCTGAAAAAATCCATAAGCAAACAGCAGCTGTTTAAAATGCTCTAAAGCAGCTGGATCCACAGATAGGTGCTAAAATAAACAGCACATCTTGGACGCATTTTGGAAGACATTAAAAAATAAACATGTAAAATACTATCTCCAAACTATTTTACAAAAGCTCACACTCCAAAGACTCAAGAGATTTCTGTCCCTCTGTGTCTCTAACTGGGGTCATGATTCATATTTCAGAGGAAACACAACCAAAACAACAAAGGACTAATTTGGCTCGTTACTTCTGAACATCTGTTCTTGCAGAGATACATCAAGACTGTTTGAAGGAAACCTCTGCCCAAAAAAATCCCAAACAAAAAAACCCTGGGAGTTTTTGGGTTATCAGTTGAGAAACTAGATTCCTTTTTTTTTTTTCTTTTGAATGAAAGTAATTATCTGGATTTTAAAATCAATTAAAAGTTGCAGATTCTAAAGTGAAACCACTGACACAGCCTTATTATACCTTGTCTAGGCTGCATTTAAAGAAGATCACACCCACTGCTCTTCTTGACACAAAATCAAAACCCCAAGATCAGGAAAGTGGTTACTATAGCATTCAAACATGAATATAGTCAAGAAGATCAGTTGGAATATAGGCTAGTTGTTCCAACATTATATTAATAAAATGTTTTCAGTACAATTGCCACACAGCACACTCTTCCTGTTTTGAAATCACAATTTTAAGCCAAAAAAGGAGCCTAAATTTTCAAGTTCAAACATGGTGTAACCCGTAATATATTAACATAGGGCAGCAATTAAAATTCTGCTTAAGATCCAATTTGCCTTCTTTAAAAAAAAACGGTAAAATCTGAAAATTAATCAGGTCTGAGTTGTCTGGATGAGGAAATGCTTTTGCTGTTGTATCAGACACACCTGCTGCTCTGTCCAGCAGCTTCCACAATCTGTGGGGTGACCTCAGTTTCAAGTGCTCCCTCAAGAACCCTGCAAGGAGAAAATATTCTACCTTTGCTCAAGCCTCACTTCTTCTGTTTGCTGTTTGTCTTTAGAAATGTGTGGTAGAAGGGTGGTGCAAACTCTTTTCTGGCAACAGTAGCTGAACTCAGCTCTTGTTAAACTTCAAACTGTCTTAGCTCTTCGCCCTTAAAATTTTAAGGTATAATAGTCACCTATTACCAGCCAATAGAGAGAAATTGTCTGCACTGAACTTACAATCTATTTCAAAGAAAGTCACAGAATAGGATTGATATATATCATCATATGCCGAAATTCAGAATTTGATTAACCAGATGCTATTTTCTTTAATATCTCATGAATAGAAACTACAGTATAAAAACAATTCAAAACAATCATTTACTAGGAAATATGACATATGGCCTGCTAAGCTGCTTTCCTACAGAAATAGCTAAAGATCATCACTCTTGGCATCACTCCCTACAACAGTCACTGGGCTCATTAAAACAGTATGTGATTGAGTCCATAAGGAAGATTATTTCTACAGATGGGTAGAAACAATGATCAAAATTACAAAGACTTAGGAGAAAGAAGTAGTCAAGGAGACTTCTCCACCTCCATAACTTCTGTGCAGTAATACAAATCAAAGCAGCACCACTAAAACACTTGCTGGAGAAAAAAAAAAAGATGCATTTTCTCCTTTTTCTTCATGGTATACATTTGCATCCTGCTAATGTATGGGATTTCATTTAACTCGTTCTGCTGGAGGGTTTCTCCTCGAGCGGGAACATCCTGATGTGAACAGAAAGCTGGTATCCAGCAGGGGCCACTTGTTGCCTGTGTTTAGTCCCAAGTCAACTGGGTGGAAACCAAAATTTAATGCTGTCATAGGATGAGCCCACGTCCTGTGAGTGGACTGGGATAACCACAACCACTGCACTGGGGTAACCACAACCGTGCTGTGATGTGATACTGCTGCAAATCCCCACTTCCCTGGTGAAGTAACACCAGTAAACCCTTGGGATGTGGCATCACGGGACAGGAAATGTTAAGGCAATTACAGTGTGGCAACGACAATCTGATGTGGCAACCGTGCAATCACACTTAGCAAGTGTTTGCATTTGAAAGCAGCTAAGTTGTGATTACGTGCTTGCAACATATCCCCTATAGATGCCAGTGCCGTGGCGTGGATTAGCTAAATTTAGGCTGTAACATGGTGCAGTGGATGGCTTTGCCATGTTCCATCACTGGCCTTGCACAGCCGCAGACCAAAATTAACGCTGGGACGGCAACGGTGCCATAGGACTGTTCTGGGAGAGATGGAGCGCTGGTGACAGCGAGAGCGGGGCCAGCGCCACACACGGGCTGCCCAGACCGGCGGGAGGGAGCCTCGGGGCTGTCACGGGCGGATTCAGGAATGCGCTGTGTGACGAAACATCAACTCGGTGACATGGCACCGACACAAGCACACAGAGCCGGCGGGGTGGCGCGGGCCCGGTGCGGCAGCGGGAGCCGGCGGAGGCCGCCGAGGCGGCGCTGAGCCGAAGGACACGGCGGTGCCGAGGTCCCGGGGAGGTGGGTGAGCGGTCACGGCCGGGCCGCGGGGCCTCCCCGAGGGCCCCGGGCGGTGTCTCGCTGGAGGGCGGGAGACGCTGTCGGGGCAGCGCCGCCATGACCTTCACACCTTGCCGCGTGACGTCACGGCCAGAGGTGACGTCACGCGGCAGTGACGCAGCGGCGCGGGCGAACCCTACCGGCGGACGCGGGGTGGCGCGGGGGAACGAGAGGCAGCCTCGGGCGGCACTGCCCGGGGAAAGCGGCCGCGGCCGAGACGAACCCTCCGAACCCTCCGCGACCCCTCCCCGACCCCGCCGCCATCGCCACATCCGGGTCCCCAGCGGCTCCTCACGACCCCCCCCCGCCGCGCGCCGTGGGGCGGGGCCAACGTTGCCAGTCCGCCCTCCCCATTGGCCGCTGGAGCGGGGCCGCTCGGGGATTGGCCCCTGCTCGGGGGGGCGGGCGCTGCCGTCTCCCCGGCCGCCCATTGGCCCGGGCGGGCGCGGCGCCGCTCTCCCGTTGGCGGGCGGGCGCGTCCGGCGCGGGGCCGGGGGAGGGTGCCATTGGCTGGAAAGTAGGTTAGTGGTGCGCCGTCGGGTGGCAAGCCAGGCGGAAAGTAGGTCAGGGACGGGGGGCTGCCGAGCCGGGCGCGCGGCGCTGCCGAGGGGGCCGCGACCCCCGCCCCGCCCCTCCCTTCGGTCGGGCGCGGCGCGGCGTGGGGCGCGCGCGGAGCCCGCGGTGAGCGCGAGGGGCGGCGGGCGGGGGGCGCTGGGGGGGTTGGGAGGGGGTGTGAGGGGAGAGCGCGGGGGGCCGGGGGGCGTGAGGGGAGCGCGGCCCCGGCGGAGCCGCCGCGCCCCAGGAACAGCGGGATCGCCGGGATGGGGGGGAGCGGCGGGATTGGGGGTAACCGGAGCGGGAGATGGGGGGCTCTGGGGACCCCCCCGGCGGCGGTGCGGCGCTGTGCCCCCTACCACCGGGAGCCGGGACCGCGGCGTGGGAGCCCCGGCCGGTGCGTGGCCCCGCGGCTGTGGCAGCACCGGGAGGGGGGAACGGGGCTCGCAGCCGGGCCCGGGCCCCGCCGTGGGCAGAGCCGGGCCGGGGTCCCGCCGCGGACAGGGGGGGCCGGGCCGGGCTGTGCCCCTGCCCCGGGACGGGGGGGCGGCGGCGGGTCCCAGGGAGGGGTCGGTGCCCCGGCCCCGCCACCGGAGCGGCCCCGTCCGAGCGGGGTCTTTGCCGGTCACCCCAGGATCCGGGGAGGCCCCGCGTGAAGCCCCCCGAGCGAAGGTGGTGCTTGGGAATTTGGGAATTCCCGTGGATGTGTCGCACGGTGGCCGGTCCCGCCCGAGGGGTTCGCTCCGTGGGGAACCCGCCCCGTTCCCGGGCAGCCCTCCCGGTGCCGGGGCCGCGTCTGACACCTCTGAGCGCCTGGGCTGCCGCGGGGAGAAGGGATGCGTGGAACACACACCGGGAGCGGCGAGGCGGCTTCCCGAGATCGGGATTTTTGCGCTTGGGGAGGCAGGAGGAAGAATCGCTTTGCATTTTTAATTGCCGAGGGTTTCTGTTACTCCAGTGCCTCGGCTATAACAGTTTTGGGAAGGTTTTGCTACTTGGAAAATAACGGTGAAGGAACAAGTGGGTGTGTTTCCTTGCCGTGGAAGCAAATATGCTCGCAGGAATTTTAAAGTACTTTCTCGGTGTGCGAGGTAGAAAGGGTCAGCTGCAGGGAGCGATCGTCTAATCTTGTCTCAAAATTCAGTATTTAAGTAGAAATTTTTAAAAAATGCTGTAACTTCAACATTCAAAATGATACTGTGTTTCTTTTTTTTAATAAGCTAAAAAAGTACCGGTCCTGCCTGTTCAGTATATCTTTTCTTAAATCAAAAGTGCTTTTTAGATGGGATTGACTGATAGTACACGGGCTGCAGCTTTTTTTTTTTGGTAGGGGAGAAAAGAAAGGATGTTTGTTTTAATTAGCTGTAATTCTGGCTAACTGTCTCTGCAAACGGTCTTGCAGAAGGCTGAGGTTAAACTCTGCCCTCCCAAGAATGTATGTTTTGTATCCTCTAGGAGTATGCAAATGTAAATAGCTCTTTGAAGCATCAGCAACTACAGACCTCTCAGTCTGGTTATTCTAAACCACAGTTGCTTATTAAGGGGAAAGGCTCTACTACTTCTGACTTCTGTGGGTTTGTGTTTCTCATGGCCATTCATGGTTTTTGATGCCTACTTGTATGTAAAATAACCTCTAACCACAACTTTTTATTGGATTAATAGGCTGTTTTATCCCGTCTTCCTTTCCATGCTGTGTGTTCCCATTGTCTGTTTGGATACCAGCTGTGGTGTGAGGGGCTGTGTAGGCTTGGGGTCTGTAAAAGAAGTTCCTTGGGAGAGTGCCTAGGCAAGAGGGAATTTCCACAGAGAATGTGAGGAGAGCTGTTTAGTTTGGCTGTCAGTAAACTAAGGTGGCTGTAACTGGAATTCCACAAAGCTGGAATTAGGATCTGCTGCCATGTCACTGTCACCATGGGCTCCCAAGAGACCTGCTGTATTTGGGGACCATTGCTTGGAATGTATTAGGAAGGTGATGTTTGTAGGGGGAGGTTTTTTTTTTCCTTCAAATACCTGCTCTCAAAAAGTCTTTTGGAAAACCAGGAATAATAACAGTAAAGACTCACTGAATTTATTTGGCAGAGCTCAAAGTTGCACACAGTTCCTTGATGACAAAGGCAATGATGACAAAGCTGAGGACAACTGTGGTGACTGCAGCCTGTGTGCCATTTTTCAATGGCACTGATAACAGGAGACATGCAGGTTAATTAGTTTACAGGAATGCAGAAGCTCTGTTTTCCAGCTCAAATTCAATATTTTACGCTGTTCTCAGCACAGACCCAATTGCCTGTGTGGTTACACTTTGACAGGAGGGACAGGAGAACCTGAAGGAATACATATTTTTAATCTTGCAGAGCTGTTTGGTTTTCAGTAAGTTGACAGAACTCAAAGAATACTTGAGGTTTCTCTATTTACTTTGGTACATTAGACATGGTTTGAAACTTTAATTTTTGTCAGTCGTCACAGTCAGAGAACTTCAGCCTGAAATTACTGATTTTGATAAGTGCAGTAGCTGAGATGACACTGACTGGATCTCAGTACCAACTTTTGAACTTAGTTGTTGGAAGTTCTGCTTGATAAACCCATGGAAGTTACTGTGGAGATTTGGAGGTGCTTGAAGATGAAAATGAGGTGTTTTATGGCATTTCCAAGTGCATTTTCCATCTGGGTCTTTCTCCAAGAGTTGTTAAGATAGATTTAAGATGATGGACTAAAGTAAAGCAGAGGTGTACTCTGCCTGTGGGAGATGTGTATGTGTATGTATCTGTATGGATATGGTAGTCTTGCACTGCAGTAGTTCCAGGTTTAGTTAAATCCACACTGGTGAATTTTGTGTACTCAGGTGTTATGTAGTTGGAACTCAAGGCATTGAATCAGAACACGAAATGATGGACTTGCAAAATGAGAATGCTTTTCTTCTAAAGAATTGGTGTACTGAGTTATTTAAAAAGCCTGTTGAAGTTTTGAGGGGTTTTTTTGGTGTGAGGAGGAGATCTCCACTGTAATTATCAAATTGTTTTTATCTGTATTTAATCACTTTGAATATTGTCAGATAACCTGTGAGGTATATCTGACTGAACTTCACCTTGAATGAGGTGCACATTGGGGTGAATAACTCACTGGCAGGAACTACATATTGCACCTACCTTTTTTTACCTCAATTTGTTGGAAAAATGCAGTGAGGCTACTTATCCAAGGCCCAGATTTCATCTCCTTGGAAACCTGATCTTTCACCAGATGTTGAGAAATGTAATTTCTCTTTTAATCCATTTCTGCAGAAGAGTACAGATCAAAACAGCATCTTCAGGCTTTGTCAGCCTGCAATATTCATTAACTAAAAAATATAGTCTGGCATTTCAGCCCTTGCCCCAAAGAAGATCGATAGTTTCTGTTGTGTTTGGTATTGTTTCAAATTTATTTTTAGCTGTTGCTAAAGTTCCTGGTTTACAGTTTAATTCAGTTCAAGAAGTGGCTGACAATGGGTTCTTCACGTGTAAAGTGCAGGATTGTTTGTGTTCACCTTTCTTCTCCACAGTTTGGGTCGTCCTCTCTCCTTTGCAGCTGCAAAGAGAGATTTCTTCGCTGGTGCTTGTAACCTTTTCAGCCTCCTGCCATTTGAGAAGCTGTTATTCAATGTCTCCTGTGTCAGACGCACTTCTGGGTCAGCTGCTGGTGTCAGAACAGCTTGTGACCCTGCCCTGGAGCCGTGCTGGGAGTTCACTAGGTTGGTCTTCTCTAGGAACGGTGCCAGTAGGCCGCTTATAGAGCAAGGAATATCCTTGGCAGGGTTTTAGAACGGTGAACTAACAAGCCCCGTTTCTTGTGGCCCAAGGTGTTGACGTTCTCTGCTAACTTTAAATAAACCCATTCATGTGAGTGCAAGCGGCTGAGGCAGAGGGTTGTAGTTTTCCTGGTTGTTTTGACAGTGCTTTCCTTGCAAATCCCAGTAGGCTCTGTTTTCCAGGTGCAAGGCGAGTCAGTGGCACCCGGCACCAGCAGCAGACGCGTTGCTAAATCCTTAACGGTCCTTCCCTGGCGTGGCTGGGGTGGAAATCCATCTTCCCAGGTGTCATTGCTGTAACACTGGGAAGGATATTGGGCAATTCCTAAGCTGCATGTGTTGGCACCATGACTCCGAAATCACTCTCATAGGAAGGCATTTTATAGTAAGTCACAGGTGCTTATTCAGTTGCAGCCTTTTGCCTCAATTCCTTTCTGTGTCGGCTAAAAATTAGTTAA